AAAATGTAAAGATCGCGTATTTCGTCGAAATTGCACCCTCAGTGGTTGTATGACATTCTGATTGCATATGCTCACTTCGCCTAAGAGATATCTTTCAGTTGAATATGGTGGTCGCGCGTTCTTCAGCTGTTCATTTGAATATCCAAGCACCTTCGTAGCTTGAGCTCAGATCTACCTAATTTCCAAATCCAGCACATTAAGATCATTAACCATTGTGAACAGATTTGGTCAGTATGTCATACAACCACTGAGGGTGGAATTTCGACGAGATACGCGATCTTTACATTTTGAGCGAAATTCATGAGGACGTGTTTTCATAGGCTCGTAACTCGGCGAACTTTATAGACTGGAGCCTGAGCACGCATCTTTTGGTAGCACAGTCCCCATGATTTTGACTTGGAAAAGCAAGCAGGCAAGTTTTTTGACAAATTCGCGAAAAGTGCAGGCAAATTTACGAACTTTCGTGACTCAGTTACAGTCACCTCACAATATCTCTACAAAAAGACCCTGTCTTCTTCAAAGACCACTATTTTCGTAAACAGCGTGTTCGAAAACCTCTTTGGGCGAAGTTTCTTTACAATCCAAGGTCATCGACATTTTGACCAAAACCCATCGGCAAGCTTCAGGGCGTAGAACGAGAAAAAATCAAATCACCCAAATTTCTTTGAAAACATGCTCATAGAGGTTATCTGACCTGCTGATTACGAAAATCACACCTGCTTAGCAGTAGAGCTTCTCATTTTAGGGTCACGGTGAGCAAAATTTGAGACAACACGATTTTCCAGAATTCACCAGCTCTTCTATCTGTTTTCAAGAAGATTCTCCGGTTGCTTCTTAGCGCTTGATAATCTGCGGAAGTAGCACAATCCAACAGTGCTTAATAAAGTCTTTTATGTTTGATGTGCGCTGCGTTGCGACCTTGTGAATATACGCGCGCAGAAAATTTTGAAAAAATTGAAAATGGAATTTCAAGGACATGCTGTATACAGTAAGATTCGACTTGACAAGATGGACACAAATCTGCTTTCTGATTTCGAAAATGTTCATTCTAAAGAAGTTACGGCTAGTAGAACTTGGAACAGCTTAATTTTTCCAGAGTTTATCAGCTCTTCTTTCTCTTTTGAAAGAGAGTCTTCGGCTGCTGTTTAGCGCACGATAATCCAGTGAAAGAGTACTATCGAACGGTGCCCATGGCAGTCTCCTATGTGTGATGCTTGTTGCGTTACACCCATGCGAAGAGGCGTCGGCATGCAAATTCAAGATTATTGAAAACAAGATATTGGAGACAACCTGTATATCAAAAGATTTGACGAGCTGAATACAACGTTGTTTTCGGATTTTGAATATACTCATTCGGAAAGAAGTTATGGCTCTGCGTAATTTGCGTGATTCACATGAATTTCGCGGAATTCCCGGAAATTTTGCTTGTTCTGTGATTGGTTTTGTACTATAAGAAATAGAGCGATAAAAACTCACACAGCGTTTCCTAAAGTACATTTCTTATTCTATATCAAAAATGATCCAATTTTGTGTCGTCAGTGATAAATGATGAAATGATGATATCAATGACAACGACAGATAAGAATGGCTTAAATTCATGCGGTCGATTTCCACGTTCATCTTCCATATAGGTGCAGAATTTCAGCCCAGGCTTCGGCGTGAAGCGAATTGAAGCAAAAATGCCATTCTAGGTAAGAATTGGCAGCAATGGCATGTGCCGATGAAAAATCGATCGATTGCTGCAGCGAGGGATCTACCAGTTGCACCGAGCAATAGAACTAGAAAAGCCTGTAGATCACTTATAATGAGATAAAGAGCGATAGAAATTCACACAGCTTTTCCTACAGTACTTTCCTTACCATATGCAAAAAATGATCCAAAAATGTGATATTATCAGTGATAAATGATAAAATGCTTATATCAGTGATAAGGGTAAATAAAAACTGCCCAATTTTTCGCGATAGTTTTCGATAATGAAAACTTCGTACCAGAACCTGCTATTCGTGATTTACGCTGTGATAAATGTTCACAAAAGCCTTAACATAGAGAACAACAAGGTATCATTGTAAGTCTACCCCGTCGTCACGAATTACGGACACACTGTATATCAAACGATTCGTCTCATCAAGCTGAAGCCAAATCTACTCGCAGATTGCAAATAAAGTGGATTTGAAGGAAGTTATAGCTAAATCCCGCAAGTCCCGCAAATCCCGCGAATCCCGCAAATCCCGTGAAGTCGCGAATCCGCAAACAACGCGAATCCCGAAAATCCCGCAATTTTGGACGAATTCCACGGTCACAACTGTAAGAGCTGATTTCTTTTGAAGTAGTATAGCTCTTATTCCGAATTGTAATATGATCCATAAAAACTCATTTGAGAGATATTTCTGTTGTTAACGCATATTGGAACCACCCAATTTATTTTGCGGGAGAATACTTTCAACGGCCGCAGCCGTTCAATATGAGATGCATCTCGACCAAAGCGTTTTTGAACGTCGATTCCGAATCGCATTCCGCTTTTGCCGAACACTCTTCTAAAAGGGTCAGGTAAGCTTAAAAAGCCCTTTAGTTCGAGGAGGCTATGTAGGTTAGTGATGCAACGGTGTAGTGGTTAGCCTGCAGGTGTCAGAAAGGAGAGTTTAAAAGTTCGAGTCCAATGGAAATGCTCTTATTATTTATTTAATTATTTATTCCGTGAGCTCATGGCGTTGCTTAAAAGAAAGCAAAGATTCACAGTCACTCATGCTCTAACCACGATAGTTCATCAAGTAGTTTGAGTCTCCGACCTTTCCGACTGCATTATTAGAAGTTTGATGAAAGTCTGTATGTGGTTGCTCTATAAGAAGAGTCAACAGAATTGAATTAGTGTGATTCATAAAGATGGTAACCATGCCCCCCCCCCCCCTCCCCCTTTGTCGTCAGCAAAACGATTTTGATTCTAACAAGCAAACGATTTGGTGGCTGATATACTGCTTAATCTCGCCAAATCAGTATGCCGTAGAGAGTGCATGACTTTGGATAAGTAGCAGTAAGGATTGTACCAGGGTTTCCCAAAAGTCTTGTAGCCTAGTATTTCTTCTGATAAAAACAAAGCGGAACAACATAGAGATATAAAATTTAGTGCACATATTGTTCAAACGGTAGGAATACATTACAGCATTCGAATTTTGTGGTAGCAACTTTCTTTGATAACGGAAGCCCTCAAACTTTTGGCGATTGCCTCTGCCGATGCACGCAGACAGTCATCATAAATTTTGTCTCATTTTTTCATAAAAATAGATCCTATCGTGTAGAAAATGCGCTGTATGATAGGGCAAGATATTTCAGATACAACACACATGAGCTGAAAAATTTCTAAGCTTATGGTTGAAATTACAGGTTTTTTCATGGTGGAGTTTTGGACATATTTGAGGGAAAATGAAAACATCAAATCGGCTACGGTGTGTTTCAAAACCAAGTTTGTCATCCATGTTGTATAGATCCCATCTAGGATACAGGCAAAGAATATTACTCGAAATTCAGTGACTGCTGCAATTTTACAGATTTGAAACTAATTTCGAAGACACAATTGCAGTGGCACGCATTCAAAATTTCCAGATTTTTCTCTCCTGTCTCGACGAAATAGATTTTCAAATGCGTCATTATAGTATTTTAGTGGTGCAAAACCTCCTCTAAATCATGGATGTTAAATTGCACAGAGGTGTGTCAAATTCGTGCAGTAGCAGAATAATTTTCAAACTTTTGTGAAATAGCTTTTTGCCTTTTAAGTTAGAAATAATTTGATAATTTTTTGGTTAAAAATAAAGATCATTTTTGACCCTCGCAGATGTGTTTCATAAAGAATGATCGGAGCATTCTGTGGCTACAGCTACAAAATGTTGAGCTACAGACTTGTGGGACACCCTATAGTGAATGAATAACTCATAGAGTGGGATCATATCAATTATTGTGATCTACAGAGTGGTAATCAAACCAACTCTTTTGCCAGAAAATGCGTTTAAAAAAAGCAAAGCGAGGCTCGAATGGTGGAATGCCCAATGACTCCGAGAAAATATTAATGAGTTTTACTTTTGTGTTTCACTTAGAGCAAGTCAACAAGCGGCATTGATTGAAGAGGGCAAATTGGTCAGACTTGAATTACTATGACGATACAATACATGGATTAGTAAGGCATGTAAAAAACAAATACTATTGAGAAAAGACATCAATTAATAATCGTATTTGAACAGTTTTAGTTGAAAACTCCGTATATTTTGTAAAAAGAAAATACCATTGAAAAACACAAACCAGTGGTCGTGTATAGAATTCAGTTTATAGTTGAAAACTCCGCCGTACACTCGAACAGAGTGAAACGCATAAATAAAGGCAAGACGAGCAGTGACAATGAAGAAGTTAGGATGACCGTAGGATTATCATTACGTACGGCTGTAGCAGAAAACTCTCTTTTTTGGGTCAAATATGTCAAACTAAAAGTGGTGCTGATTCTTATTCTTCAAATCAAATGAAACAAGATTTCAACTCAAAAGAACATATAACATATTGCTGAAAGTGTCTGCAGACGTTTTTGACTGCTTATATCTGACTCACGTACAAAATGCAACAAGGTTCACCTTCCATCGATTTGAACCTTCAATCTCTCGCCTTGAAAGGCACCACGCTGATCATATCTATCGCATCACCTGCGTACCTAGCAGCGTCATCCAACTAAGAAACGCAAAAAAGGGATTTTCTTCTATAATTTTACGCATTCAAAATCAGCGTCCAAAATTGATTTCGCCTATATGCACCTTACATCAAACAATTGCGAACATTAAAAGTACTTTCTTGTTAGTATGTAGAAATAACGTCAAAAATTATCAACAGCAAGACAAATCCTTAAACATTCAACCAAAAAACCTTTTCGCTCAAATTTCCTATTAATTTATTTGCTGACTAAAATTTTTTAAATGAGAAGAAAGTAGGTTCGTGTAATAGACTCAGAACTGAAAGCGCTTATTCAGGCTTATCAGAATGCGAAGAAAGAAGGCCCGGAACCACGCCTCAAAAGCATACCTTATTTCAGCGAAGACCAGCTATTTTTCTTAGCTACTGCTCAAGTATGTGTTCTCTACGCTGCTAATTATAACTGTTAATTTCCTTCAAAGCAAGGCTTAATTGCATTATTGCGCACCTACTCCGTGAAGCCGCTACTATGGCACACATTCGCGCTACCAAGGCGTCCCATGGTAGAAGACTCCATAAATACTTTCGGCGCATTAATCTAAATGTAGTTCTACAGCTAGAAACTGTATATTTGCATACTTTTTAAAAATATTGTGTCTTACTAGATGGTCCCCGGTCCCGCCCGCAAATCGGCTACTTGATCCTAAACGCATTAAAACTTACCGTTTTTCTCCATATCTGCGACAAAACTGTAATATGTCTCTCTTGCTGACTTGAGACAGTCCTTTTTGCCGAGAAATGTAGATGAACGCTACCGCCCGACTTAAATGACTACGAGGGAATGATCCAACAATGGTTGGTGATTTCTCGTTCTAAGTGAAATCAATAAATCGATTGAAGGGCCCGACAAATCATCGCAAAGGTAGCCTATCTTGTGCGCCGTGATATTATCTATTGGGAAAGGAATTCTAGCCTTATCGGTTCACACACAAAAGAGTCTATAAGCCACACACCTACTAAGGAACAAATTTACAGATTCGGATTTATTTGTTTATATAAAATACAGTGAACACCAAAAAGTTGCGGACAAGCCGCCTTCCTTTTTTCATCGCTCATTTTCAGATGGATAACAAACAATGAAAACATGTTAAGATTGTTTGAGGTGATAGAGCTCTCTAAAAGCTACAAACCACCCGACGTTACGCTGCTTTTTGGAGAAAATGTATTCTAAAGTTTTTGAAAACCTTTTTTGACAAAAGGTTAAAAATAGCAATGTCACAATGTCGCGGACCATAATTTATCGAACGCGGAAAACTTTTATTAGGTTGTAAAGAAAATTTCCGGGCAGTTGCAAATCGCTGTAACTTCAAGTAGATTGATTCTTTTTGAAACTACAAACTTCATTGCAAAGATAATTTTGTCCAAAACATATATTTGTCTTGCTGGCTTCTCAGCACCTCACCGGTCCACCAGCATGCGCAGAAGACAAAAAGGTCGTTGCGAAAAGTGGCCTATTTGTGCAGGATTGTCTCAAACATGATGAGAGCTGGAGAGCCCAGATGCTGTGCTTATATAGTGGTCTGCTGGGGCTGTTATGGGGACCACTCATGTTTTTGAAGGACCACCTGTAAAAAAATTTCCTTAGAAAGTTTGAAAAATCGACCATTTTCTGCCCCTAAAAATGCACCATTTTTCGAGTAAGTTTTAATGTCTTCTATTCTGCACAGAAAAGTCCAAATCTTTGATTACTGGGAACATCGTTGGGGTGAAGCCTTGCATACCTTTTAGACCCATCGTGCAGGCGTGGCGATCCCCGCAGAAGCGACGCCAGCTGCAAAAATAGTTGCAGTCGGAGGCAAGTTCGACAGCTTGTAATTCCTGAGTGCAAATCGCAAAACTCGAGTGCAGCTACGGGTCAGAAGCTAACAGCCTTGCCAGTCAAATCACCCATGATTTGAACGAAATCTTTGAAATGCACAAAAAATGGCCCTAGGAAGAAAAATTGTGAAATTTTTGTGATTGGAAAGATTTCTCTTCTTAATTTGCAGATCACACACGTCTTGGCATCGATAAAAGTCAGACGGCTTGTCAAAAACTACAGGTTTCCTACTCAATAGTACAAAAAACTTTTTGTCAAAGTCCGACCGACCGCCGAAAAAAAGCGTTTGAAAATGAAATTTCCAAAAGTGCCCGGGAACTTTCTTTACAACCTAATAAAACTTTTTTGAGGAAAAAAACAGAAGTTTCTCAGATAGGTACAAACAGTATTATAGTACCTTGTCAGAGACAGATTCAGGTAGTGGTTACTTTAAAAAAAACCCAAGCTTGAACTTTTCTTTGTTTTTTTTTCAAAAAATAACCTCTAATTTCCTGAAGCCAAAATTCTTTGCATGAAAACCTATTCAAGAATCCTAACAAAGCTGGTCAAATAGAAAGAATGATCTTTGCTATCTTCTATGCATCGGACGTGTGCTGGTGAGCCTCTTTGATGAAAACGGCTCCTGACAGTGCATGCACATGACCCCACCTGCACTCACCACTGACTTGCACCGCATCGCAGTCTTGTAACTCGGCCGCCAGTCATCTGAGAGCCTATAAGTAGGCTCACCCGAAAGAGCGTAACTACCGTGACATGATGTTGTGCAAAAGGGTTGAACAGGAAAAGTCCCGGAAATTTTGCGGAGGGTGGCGCAGTTTCAGGCGCAGAGGCGAAGGCGCAGTGGCGCAAAAGCGCAGTTTCAGTGGTAGCCTGAGGATTTTCCAAAGTTGAACAGCCAAAGTTGAACAAAGCTCCTTTCGCTACCATTTTTATCCTAAAAGTTCAAAACTGTCAATTTTCTTGTAATAGATCCATTTCGAAGCTCTACTGTTTTGGCGTTGATAAGAGTCTTCACTCCAATCACCTTCAAAGCTGCAATTTTTCACCCCATCCGTAAAATCTCCGGAATTTCTCTTGCTCAACTCTTTTGCACCATCATGTCGAGGAGGTTACTCTCCTTGGGATGATCTTACTTGCAGGCTCTTAGAGTGACTGGCTGCCGAGCCACAAGATTGCAATGCAATGCAAGTCAGTGGTGAGGTGCAGGTGGGGTCATGTGCACGCACTGTCAAGAATCATTTTCGGCAGCAAACTCATCAGTCCGATGCATAGAGTATGGCGAAGGGTATCCATTTTATCCGAATGGCCTTGTTGGGACGTCTTGGATAGGTTTCTATGTGAAGAAATTTGATTGGGAAAAGGGAGATAAAAGTTATTTTTTTAGAGCGGAGTAAAATTTGAGCTTGGGTTTCTGGAAGTAATACTACTTGATTATTGTCCACGATAAGCTTTGAAATATAGTAACTTGTACTTCTAACTTTTACTTGAAATTCGTCGTCTCAAAGTGCTCCTGTTACTTGCCGCCATTTCAGCCACGCCGCGTTCGTTCTAGCACGGGCATCACTGATTGTTTCGCCAGATCTCGGGCTCCCAAGTATTTTAATATGACGACCTTTTAATGGCTTTCCATCGATGCTAAAGATTGCACCGTCATTTGCTTTCCGCAATGCAAGTACCCATTGTCAGTCTTTCCTACGCTCTGTCGCATGCTATGTTGGATTTGATCGCGTCTTCCATTTAGTGGTTGCCTCTTCGAGCTCCTGCCTCGATCCTTTGTTAACTTGACGTCGTCCGCATAGAGGAGGATCCATTGGTGCGGCAGGAATGTCCCTGGCTACCGAATCCATGCACAGTATGGAAGAAGAAGGATGATAGAGCCGACTTTCTATTCCAATTTGAAAATTGTAAATGGCATCGACGTTCTAACTGCACAGCGTACGGCACCCGTCGTGTCCGCAGAAGGAAGTTTGATCCAACTGACGTATTCTTCTGGGACGACGGGATGTTGTCTTGAGCATAATAAATCGGCCGGTGTGGTATTCAATCAAATGCCTTTTCTGAATCCAAGAACGCAAATTGAACCGGATTCCGCTTCTCCAAGTGGCGTTCCATTAAGCACTGATGGATGGCTTTGATGGTATCGGATCCTTTTACGAAACGCATCGATTTGGAGTGACACTCATAATACTTCGGATGCGCGCGTTGATAAATCGTTCGAGAAACTTCATCGTGTGGCACGGCAGCCGACATGTTGAATGCCTTGTTCTTCCAGATAACGGCTGTGACACTCCAGACCACCGGCACCTTTCAGACTGTGATGATCCCGTTGAAAAATGATGTTAAGTATGCCACTCCATGCTGTCCCATCGTCTTCCATACTTCAGCAGGTATGCCGTCAAGTCCCGAGAGTTTACCGCCCATCTTTTTGAGTGCCTGCATAAATTCTGTCTCCTTGATCCGGCATTGATCCAAAATGTAAGCGTTCCTTGCGGTAATGTCAAGTGCAAAACCTCCTCACTACAGAGGCCTTCGTAGTACTTGCTCTACTACGAGTATTGCCGCGGCTTTGTCAGGAGATTGCCTTCTGCATCTTTAATGTGCATGATGTGATCGATGTTTTTCTTCGCTTCAAGCAGAGGCCAGTTGGGAGACGTTGTTAGCTCTAGCACGTTGTTGCGGCTCGCCGTTCTTGTAGTGGGACTCTTTTGCTTCGGTTACCACATGCTTCGCTCATAAGTTAAGGACTCGATATCAACAAAATCGTTTGCGTGAGAGTGCTGCCAGGTTTTGAAGGCTTCTTTTTTCTCCCTAATTAGTACTTGCTGAACTGACTTAGGCCACTACTAGGTTTGCTTGCCTACAAACCGACGTGTTAGCTGAGTGGTCCTCGAAAGCTCTTCGACTATCGGTCGTATCTGCAAAGTAAATCAATCCCATTGGTCTTTGATCGATTCTTTATCATCAGTCGGCAATTACAGAGTATTAAAAAATTTCTAATTTGCTGAGGATGTCTAACGAGGGAAGGATACTTGGTGACCGTGGCCTTTTGCAATGAGATGTATACCAGCAGGTGCGTCTTGGAACGCTGATTCTAAATCTATGTTCATTATCTGCTGTGCGACTCCTTGAACGAAGTTATGGACTTTTCTCCATATGGATTTTGCGAGATTTAAACGGTCAAAATCGTCAGTATCCAGGCTTTTTAGACTCTGATGCATTGGTGACAGTTTTCCTGAAGTTAGCGTAGAGCTTTACTTTGTCAGTACGCTCTTTTGTAATGCGTAAGCGAACATTCTAACGATATTGGTAAATCTTGCATCAAAAACAGTGCAAACATTAATGATAAGAAATGTTCATAACTTCTTTCGGAAGAGCGCACAGCAGATAATGAAAACAGATTTGGAATCAGCGTTTCAAGATACATTTAGTAGTGTACGTTTCATTTCAAAAGGCCACGGTCACCAAGTATCCTCTCCTTGTAAGAAACTTCCGCCATTTGCTCCTCTTTGTCATCGTCCTCCTTGCTCGTAGATGCAATGGCAGTCGGAGATTCAA